TGGTTTTGTGATGAATGAGCCATCTGATTCAATGAATGATGGAGCTGAGTTTGCCTTTTCCCCCAAAGTTTCATTTAAGGTGCTCCAAAGCTTTTTACTATCATTCTTTGTCATTTATCCTTGTTTCATAGTTTTGTTTCTTCTTTTTATTCAGTTTAGTCACATGATTTCTCAATTTGAAATATGTTTGCCAATCGGTTGTGCAGCCAGACTTATTTGCCATTCCTTTTGCGTCATCGCTCTCAACCATACAATTTTTTAAATTCTTCATCAATCCACGGGGATTTAACTGTTTTTACAGTCATTTTCTTAATGGGTGCATGCTTATTAGTAACTGGAATAATCAATTTCATGAATGTGTCAAGTGCAGTGTCTGTTTGCTCCTCATTACACACCACGAACCAACATATATTCTTTACATCAACAACATAGGAATCACTTATACACAATATTAGGCCCAGCCTTTGGAACTTTGGTTTTCCTAGATATGGCTACTATATTGTGATCACTACATCCAATGGATTTGGATACTGCTTTCAACAAATCTCTGCAGCATTAGTAAAGATATGATTAATACATGTTGATAATTTAATTCCTGTACTGTTTGTAACCACCCTGGTAGGTTGACTGATAACCTGAACCAGGTTGCATGCACTGGTTACAGTTTGAAGCTTTCTCTTGAGTGAGCAGCCTGATGAAAGCCAGTCAATATTTAAATCACCCAGAAAGTATACCTCTCTTTTGATATCACATACATTATCAAGCATTTCACACATGTTATCCAGATACGGACTGTTAGCACTTGGTGGTCTATAGCAGCTTCCCACCAGATTTGGCTTTAGGTGAGGCAGATGAACCTGTAGCCATATTACTTCAACAGTATTTAACATGAGATCCTCTAATCTTCACAGGAATGTGGTTCTGAATATAAACGGCAACACCACCATTTCTATCTTTTCTGTAAATGTTATAACCTTGTATTGCTACCACTGTATCATCAAAGGTATTATCTAAGTGAGTTTCAGAGATATTAATTTCATCTATTACGAGTAAATTATTGATTTCATGAACCTTGTTTCTTAAGCTACATATGTTAACGTGGGCTATTTTGAGCACTTTTCTGGGATGCTTACTTGTTTTTATTGCTTTACTGGGACGCTTGATGGCGGCAATGATTGTGTCTGCCATGCCATCTGGGACTGACACCAGGTCCAGGAACTGGTTGTAAAGGTGTCCCTCTTGGTCCATGTATCTGGGAAAACAATTTCATTATTACTCATGGACTGTAGAATATCACTGTTCAAAATAATTTTGTAACTCTTATTGAAATAATACCTGACATGTAAATCCAGCTGCTGATTAGTTGCCACATCTAGTTTCATCAGCCTCCAGGCCAATGGCTACAGATGTCTGGGTGGCATGGAGGATAGGCTCCTCCACAGCTTGAGCTACAGATGTCTGGGTGGCATGGAGGATAGGCTCCTCCACAACTTGAGCCAGAATCTTCAACTTTTCGTCCGCTATTATGTGGGACCTGTAGTTTGTTCTTGCCAATCTTCAAGTAAATGAGAACAATTTGAAATAAGTCTGGTGACATTTAAATATAAAGTGAAGAAAATAGGAACAAAAACACAGAATTGTGGAGCACTCATTCACCTTGAGCTTTGTGAAATAGTCACAATTCAGCAAGGTCCAGCAGTTCTGGGAAGTTTGTGTGATGGGCCTGCTCCCGCTTTGTTAGACGGTACCTATGACGGCCTCGTGCTCAAGCACTGGTTGGCTCGAATGCAACCATGACTGAGGAGCCTATGAATAGCAACAGGCATAATGCGTTATTATTGAGCCACGGTTAGTGCACAGTCTGAGACATCTTTTACATTAGGAGACATTTTGAGAAATGGAAGGATCCAATAGAACAATCTTTACATTTTGCCAGCATTGCATGAGCCCTCACACTTTCCATGTGGTGATCTGTCCCTGGGTGCCGGTTAATATAGTCCAGCTGATGAATCTGGGCCCCTATTTCAATAATATGATGCTTTGACACACCCCTTTTAGCAGCCTGCCTATGTTGACAGCACAGGCGGCAGAACATTCCTAGACGGGATGTAGAGTGTAGTTTAGTGGAATTACTGGTGGCTGGGGCAATACCTATTACAGATAGCAAGCATTACAACACTGTACTAGTCTACAGCATTATGTGTAGACAAAATGTTTCACAAACATTTTTAGCCCTTAGTCTAATTAAAGGAACTTTGACTAACCATGTGGTGTATTATATCTGACTAACCATGTGGTGTATTATATAGCCACAGCTTCAGTCTGTCAATTTTAAGCCACTTTGGGTCCCATCCGGATTGCCGGTGGTGCGCACTTGGCCTAACTCCTCTCTCCTATCCTTTTACCTACTCCTCCTTCTCTCTGCTCTCCTCTCTCCTTTTCTCATTCCATCTCTTCTCTGCTCCATTAATCTCTCATGCATCCCTGCCTCACTCCTGGGATTTTGCCTCTTCTCTGTCTAGTAAAGTAAGCCATACACTTATTAAAAACGATAGCTTAAGCTTGTAAAGAGTTAGCTATCTGAAGTTTCATTTAATTCAGGCTGATTTTACGTTATCTAGCTAAGTTAACGTTACCTGACACTCTTGTCCCTGCTCCCCCTTTCTCTTTCGCTGCTGTGGCTGGAAATATTTCAATAAACTCATCTGAGAAAAATCAAATCAAATCGAAGACCGATAAATGTAGCTATCTTGCTTGCACTTGATACAGTTCCAAACGAACTAGCTAGCTAACTTGCTAGACTAGTAACGTTAGTTAACCATGTTTCTATAATCAACATACTTGTTGATTATAGAGTGGCGCAGTGGTCTAAGGCTGTGCCACTAGAGATCCTGGTTCGAATCCAGGCTCTGTCGTAGCTGGCCATGACCGGGAGACCCATGGGGCGGCGCACAATTGGCCCAGCGTCGTCCAGGGTAGGGGAGGGAATGGCCGGACGGGATGTAGCTCAGTTGGTAGAGCATGGCGTTTGCAACGCCAGGGTTGTAGGTTCGATTCCCACGGGGGGCCAGTATGAAAAATAAAAAAAATAATGTATGCACTCACTAACTGTAAGTCGCTCTGGATAAGAGCGTCTGCTAAATTACTAAAAAAATTTAAAACTTGGGGATATTGGATAGCTAATTTCCATTACAATTGTGGCAGCAATATTTTAGGTCTAAATTATGTTTTTAGGTTATAGCTAGCTTATATAGTTGGCTAGCTATCGTTAGTCAAACAAACAAGCTAACGTAGCTTTCTTGCAGTTTCTCACGCAGGTGCACTCTGAGGTGATTCAAGTGAATTGTGTTTCGCACCGCAGAGCGTCTGTATCGCACTGGTCACTTGCGCAATGGTCACTGGCACGCTGTGTTGAGTTGCAGGCTGCCTGCCACAGATCACAGAGCTAAATAACCTTCAGAACTGTGTTGAACCCAGACGGATGATCTATTTACCAAGAAAAGCGAATGTGCTTTACACAACTTTATTGAAACTATGTTTGGTAGAAATAAGATGTTTCTTTAGGTGTGGCGGCTGAATGCAATGATTCTGCTGTGGCACAGCGCCACACTTAAATGAACGCAGAGGAAACACTGGGACTGTCACATAATATGCCATTTAGCAGACGCTTTTATCCAAAGCAACTTACAGTCATGCGTGCATACATTTTTGTGTATGGGTGGTCCCGGGGATCGAACTCACTACCCTGGCGTTACAAGCGCCGTGCTCTACCAGCTGAGCTACAGAGGACACACATGAACCTGCTTGTTTGTCAAATGTTTAGGCTACTCCTCCTGTCTCGACGATCACGTTCATAAATAGATTAACTGCTGTAGCCTATAGACATAGGCTATGTCGCATTCGTTTTCAGAACCATCCATTTGCGTGGTCCTCTGTAGCTCAGCTGGTAGAGCACGGCGCTTGTAACGCCAAGGTAGTGGGTTCGATCCCCGGGACCACCCATACACAAAAATGTATGCACGCATGACTGTAAGTCGCTTTGGATAAAAGCGTCTGCTAAATGGCATATTATTATTTATGATGATTCCTTCTGTGGAACTCTTGAAAATAAGAGCTTTCCTCCTTGAAGATGAGTGCTAGTGTATTTGCCACAGCACACCCTGCCCGGCCCTTCTTCCATGAGGGTCAAAGTCAAGTCACACAATGGCCGTCTGAGACTTTGCATATGTCACGGTAGGGCTGGCATGCCAGGCGAGAGGCGACGCCAACTTGTCGGTATGCCAAAACCTGAAGGTCACAGGCTTAAGTGGAACTGCAATGTAGCCCATTGCGTTGTTTCATTGAACAGACTGGCTCTGTGAAGGAATGGCATGCCTTTCACTCTCACCTCTTTTTATAATGCTCTACCAAAAGGTTATGGGTGGAACTGCACGTAGGACAGCCAGTCAGGGTCTGGCCAAACTTCTAGCTTGCTACACTGTATAATCTTCTGTTCTGTGGCAAAATTATTGGTCAACATAATTACTGATATGTAGCCTATTGGTTATACAACAGATAATGAGGGATAGTTGTTTCTCCTCTCACAGTTGTTAGTAATGAGTGAGTTCCTATTGTGAAGTGCTGCATTACCATTATCCTATCAAGGCCCGGCTCCTTAGCCCCAGACCCAGTGTCCCAGAGTGAACTTCTGCAGAGGGTAACGTGACACGTGTGCTTTGTTGGCTGTAATCAGATGCTGTCACTATGGCCTGGCTGGTAATGGGATTGCTGCTCAGAGGGGTGGTGTGGTGGAGACAGGGGCTTCTCTTGCTAAACAGGAATAGTGTGGTCATGCCCCCTTAGCCATCCCCTCAAATGGAGGTTTATCATCAGTGCTTCACACCGTTCTATCCCAGCTAGAAGTAAAGAGACTGGGTGTGTTGTGATTAGTTTCTATGGTGTTAACTTGTGTATGTCTCTTTTCTCAGGTGTTGCTGTTAGCAGCAGAAGGTTAGGTGATAATGCTGAGGCTTCAATCCGTTCTGGCCCTCTCCCTGTCGGGAGTGTTGGCTTTCCTAGGCCTGTGGTGGTACACCTCTCGGAAGAAAGAACAACCCACTGACAAAGATGACACAAAGGATGAGACAACCACAGACCAGGAGCACCTGTCCTCCTCCACCGGAGACGGAGGTATCGGTGTTGTGGAGAGTGGCTACTCCGCTGGGACAGATGGGGAAAGGCACGCAGTGAGGAAGAGGTCGTTAGTGGAACAGGAGCTTGTTGATAGTACAAACACACAAGCGGCAGCAAAGCTGGGTACAGTCCCACTCTGCCAATCACAACCTGAGGAAATGGTTGTAGCTGCAGGGTGTCTGAGTAGAGGCTTTGATACTGCTACGTTGAAGCCCGTTACGGAGAGCACTGAGTCTTCAGCTCAAGTACTCCCAGAGACTGCACCTGAGAGCCAAGCCCAGGGGGGACCTGAGAAGGATATAGCATTACAAAGGAAACACCAGCCATCCTCTGATGAGGAGCAAGTCTCTATCTGTGACCCAGGCTCTAACCCTGGTGAGGGTGCAGGCCTAAAGCCACAAGCACTGCCTCTCTCTGAGACACTGGAGGACACTAAAAACAGAACTTTCAACGAAGAGGCGGCAGAGGAGGTTAGACTGGACCCAGAGGGAGAGGTTAGAGAAGACAAGATTTCAGTGTGTTTTGCAGAGATGAGGCCTCAAACCGATCTGGCTGAGAACTGCCTCCTCTCCAAAGACAACCTATCTATCCTGCCTGCTGTGGAAGAACCAACCTGTGAGGCAAGTCTACAGGATGACACCTGTCTGGATTCCCCCATCCACCTCCTTACCAGTCAGATGTCCCCCTCAAGGCAGCCATTGGGCATTCTGAGGTCACCTCAGAAGAAAGACCAGTCTGAGGAGTGTAAACTCAGCAGGAGCAACACAGCGGAAATGAACCAGCTGGCGTCATGTCTGATCACCCACGTGGTCTCAGCAGCAGTGAGTCAAGTCCTGAAGGAAAAGAACCTGCTAGAACATAATGTTAGGCCTCTCTGTAACAGGGACCCCTTCACAGCCCCAGATAACATCTCAATGGGTAACAGTGAGACTGAAAGCAAGATGCCTCATCTATTGCAGGAGGATCAGTGTTCAACAACAGGCATGGAGAACATATGTTCATCTCCTATAGTCTATGAGGATGTGAAACATGACTGCAGCAGTAGAGCTGAGACTGAGCAGGCAGGGCTAGCAGAAGAAGATTCTGCAGTAGGTGATTCTGGCTCCAGCTCAGGTCAGACAGAGGAGCGCTCCAGTGGCGAGGACTCGAGCCCCAATGTGAGCCCGCAACCACCCAGGGGACCAGCTGAAGAACTGGGGGACACCAGCATGGCCCTCACTAACTGTCACAGGACGGAGGAGGTGGCCGTTCCAGGTGAGCCACCTCGTAGCAGATTTTCAATTTCTCACAATATATCAGTATCATTTCTGCCCAAGCTGACCTATCCCTCTTATTTCTTAGTGTTACTGTGTAGCTCTCACACACCAGTGTCCTGTTTACACGTGCCATATGAGTTCAGGGTTGATTTTACTGCAGTGAAGAAATATCTTTATTTTGCAATACTCTAGCCTGCAGCTGCTGGAGTTCCCATACAGAATGTGAACCTAGTTTAGTCCCAGTACTAGCTAGACCCCATACCATAGTCATTCTTTACAGCTGCTGATGCGTGCACATTCCCCTTTTTGTGTTGCTCAGTATTTTCAGGTAAGAGAACTCTCGCCATGCCAGAATGTCTTCTCTCTCTCCCCTGTTATTGTTGTATGTGGGTGTTTTTGTGTGCCGCTGTGTTTGCGAGGTTATATTGTGTACACAACACAAGTGACTGTTTTTAGTGACTGATCCGTACTGCCCTAGGCTCTGGTGTAAACAGCATGGACTCTGTAGACCGTTACGATCAGCCAATTGAAAAATACAACCAGAGTCACAACAGCAGACAGCCACCGACTGTTTGGGAGATAGAGGTGCCAAAGGTGAGTCTACCTCCCTGTCTAACCCTCTCATCATCACTTCATCACATTACTGATAATGTATTTTCTCTGGCTACTGATTGCAGTGTTAGATTCTCTAATGCAGGTGATTTTAGGGCTTGTTGTAGGTACGTCAAACGTTGGACACTATAGTCTAAAGCGCCTGGTTAAATTGTGCTTAGGAGCATTTTTTAAATCTCTAAATGGTTGAACTAGTGAGAGAAATATATACTGCTCAAAAAAATAAAGGGAACACTAAAATAACACATCTTATTAAATACTTTTTTCTTTACATAGTTGAATGTGCTGACAACAATCACACAAAAATTATCAATGGAAATCAAATTTATCAACCCATGGAGGTCTGGATTTGGAGTCACCCTCAAAATTAAAGTGGAAAACCACACTACAGGCTGATCCAACTTTGATGTAATGTCCTTAAAACAAGTCAAAATGAGGCTCAGTAGTGTGTGTGGCCTCCACGTGCCTGTATGACCTCCCTACAACGCCTGGGCATGCTCCTGAGGAGGTGGCGGATGGTCTCCTGAGGGATCTCCTCCCAGACCTGGACTAAAGCATCCGCCAACTCCTGGACAGTCTGTGGTGCAACGTGGCGTTGGTGGATGGAGCGAGACATGATGTCCCAGATGTGCTCAATTGGATTCAGGTCTGGGGAACGGGCGGGCCAGTCCATAGCATCAATGCCTTCCTCTTGCAGGAACTGCTGACACACTCCAGCCACATGAGGTCTAGCATTGTCTTGCATTAGGAGGAACCCAGGGCCAACTGCACCAGCATAGGGTCTCACAAGGGGTCTGAGGATCTCATCTCACAGAAGTGTGATTGACTTGGAGTTACATTGTGTTGTTTAAGTGTTCCCTTTATTTTTTTGAGCTGTGTGTGTGTGTATATATATATATATATATATATATATATATATATATATATATACACACACACAGCTCAAAAAAATAAAGGGAACACTTAACACAATGTAACTCCAAGTCAATCACACTTTTGTGAAATCAAACTCCACTTAGGAAGCAACACTGATTGACAATAAATTTCACATGCTGTTGTGCAAATTGAATAGACAACAGGTGGAAATTATAGGCAATTAGCAAGACACCCCCAATAAAGGACTGGTTTTGCAGGTGGTGACCACAGACCACTTCTCAGTTCCTATGCTTCCTGGCTGATGTTTTGGTCACTTTTGAATGCTGGCGGTGCTTTCACTCTAGTGGTAGCATGAGACGGAGTCTACAACCCACACAAGTGGCTCAGGTAGTGCAGCTCATCCAGGATGGCACATCAATGCGAGCTGTGGCAAGAAGGTTTGCTGTGTCTGTCAGCGTAGTGTCCAGAGCATGGAGGCGCTACCAGGAGACGTGGAGGAGGCCGTAGGAGGGCAACAACCCAGCAGCAGGACTGCTACCTCCGCCTTTGTGCAAGGAGGAGCAGGAGGAGCACTGCCAGAGCCCTGCAAAATGACCTCCAGCAGGCCACAAATGTGCATGTGTCTGCTCAAACGGTCAGAAACAGACTCCATGAGGGTGGTATGAGGGCCCGACGTCCACAGGTGGGGGTTGTGCTTACAGCCCAACACCGTGCAGGACGTTTGGCATTTGCCAGAGAACACCAAGATTGGCAAATTCGCCACTGGCGCCCTGTGCTCTTCACAGATTAAAGCAGGTTCACACTGAGCACATGTGACAGAGTCTGGAGACGCCGTGGAGAACGTTCTGCTGCCTGCAACATCCTCCAGCATGACCAGTTTGGCGGTGGGTCAGTCATGGTGTGGGGTGGCATTTCTTTGGGGGGCCGCACAGCTCCATGTGCTCGCCAGAGGTAGCCTGACTGCCATTAGGTACCGAGATGAGATCATCAGACCCCTTGTGAGACCATATGCTGGTGCGGTTGGCCCTGGGTTCCTCCTAATGCAAGACAATGCTAGACCTCATGTGGCTGGAGTGTGTCAGCAGTTCCTGCAAGAGGAAGGCATTGATGCTATGGACTGGCCTGCCCGTTCCCCAGACCTGAATCCAATTGAGCACATCTGGGACATCATGTCTCGCTCCATCCACCAACGCCACGTTGCACCACAGACTGTCCAGGAGTTGGCGGATGCTTTAGTCCATGTCTGGGAGGAGATCCCTCAGGAGACCATCCGCCACCTCATCAGGAGCATGCCCAGGCGTTGTAGGGAGGTCATACAGGCACGTGGAGGCCACACACACTACTGAGCCTCATTTTGACTTGTTTTAAGGACATTACATCAAAGTTGGATCAGCCTGTAGTGTGGTTTTCCACTTTAATTTTGAGGGTGACTCCAAATCCAGACCTCCATGGGTTGATAAATTTGATTTCCATTGATAATTTTTGTGATTTTGTTGTCAGCAAATTCAACTATGTAAAGAAAAGTATTTAATAAGATTATTTCATTCAGATCTAGGATGTGTTATTTTAGTGTTCCCTTTATTTTTTGAGCCGTGTATATACACACAACTGTTCAAAAGTTTGGGGTCACTTAGAAATGTCCTTGTTTTCGAAAGAAAAGCAATTTTTTGGTCCATTTAAATAACATCAAATTGATCAGAAATACAGTGTAGACATTGTTAATGTTGTAAATGGCTATTGTAGCTGGAAACAGCTGATTTTTGGGGGGGGAATATCTACATAGGCGTACAGAGGCCCATTATCAGCAACCATCAGTCCTGTGTTCCAACGGCACGTTGTGTTTGCTAATCCAAGTTAATCATTTTAAAAGGCTAATTGATTATAAGAAAACCCTTTTGCAATTATGTTAGCACAGCTGAAAACTGATTTTAAAGAAGCAATAAAACTGGCCTTCTTGAGACTAGTTGAGTATCTGGAGCATCAGTCTCAACGTCAACAGTGAAGAGGCGACTCCGGGATGCTGACCTTCTAGGCAGAGTTGCAAAGAAAAAGCCATATCTCAGACTGCCCATCTTAATCTTTTCTTTTTATTGGCCAGTCTGAGAGGTGGCTTTTTCTTTGCAACTTTCATTTTAAGGACCTTATTACTGATTTTAATGTTTTCTTTTCTTTTTTTTTTATGACCGTGTTTTCTTTCTTTATATTTCAATGTATTTTCTGTTTCAATGTAATTCAGGGCTCATCTGTAAAAGAGACCTTTGTCTCAGTATGGCTCGCTGATAAAATAAAGTTTAAATCAAAAATAACTCTGGGTTTGTACTGTTGATTTTGTCATACGCTCTGGAGGTCGCAGGACTTCGAACGCAGCTATCATTTTCTTTCTCAAATGGCATGAATAATTCGGGGCGGTCTCTCTATAAAAGTCGCTGGCCACACACCAATACATGGATTTGAAAGTCAAATGATCACTTAAATAGCAGCGAACTGTTATCACTGTTGATATCCTACGGAGGGTCGTGATTCGTTGAAGTGGTGTATTCCATTTTCCGTGATGGCAGCCTCCCGAAATCAACATCCGCCATTCCAAAATATAGACGCCTTCTACAAATTATCATCTAACCAACCATGTATAGGTTATAAAATCATTAAATCTTAAGATATTTTTGAGGAATTGCACTTACGAACTTCTTATTTATTTTCTTAAGAAGCTTCTTAGGTTTTTGTGTAAAGTGTTTTGTGAATCTGGGTCCTGGTCTGTCTGCCCAAATCTGAAAGTATACCAGTTTCATTTGAGGACCAGGATGTTGACCGCTGTGCCATACAGATTACAAAATAGCTGGGAAGAGATTTTTGATCTACCGATTCCATGGTATAGGGTGTATGAGTTGATGTATAAACGACGCAAGATTCAAGACTTAGTGCTTTTCAGCTAAAATTATTGGCAGATCTGGAGAGACCTGGTCAGTCAATTACTAATATACTAATACTTTTCAACTCGCAATCTGTAGGTGCTAGTCAAGTAGATTCAAATTGTATGTTAAACATCACAGCATAATTTAAAGCTGTATGGTGCATAGAAATCCAATGAGTGTTGCCAGCAGAGATGGGTGGGATAGGCTGAGGGAAACTGAGGGTTGGGATGTGTAACTGGAGACAAGTGGGAGTGGAGTTTCTGGGCGGGGGATAGAATGACGGTCAAAGAATTAAGTCAAAATCAGACTCTGGCGGCTTTTATACCATCCATATATTACTCGCTAACATTTAGTCCCTGGACAATAAAGTAGATGAGCTCAGGGTGAGGATCTCCTTCCAGAGAGACATCAGGGACTGTAACATACTCTGTTTTATGGAATCATTGCGCTCTCCGGATATATTGTCCCCGTCCATTCAGCCAGCAGAGTTCTCCGTCCCATCGCACGGACAGGAAGAAAGGACTCTGGGGAAAAAGAAAGGCGGAGGGGTTTGTTTCATGACTAACATTCATGGTGTGATTGCAGTAACGTACAGGAACTCAAGTCCTTTTGTTCTCCCGATCTGGAATACCTCCCCATCAAATGCCATCCGCATTGCCTCCCAAGATAATTTTATTCGGTCAATTTTCTTCACTGCCGTGTATATTTGGATAGACGGCAGCATTTGTCCTAAAACTGAAAGGACGAACCACCGCATTTAACCATGGCAAGGTGTCTGGGAACATGAACGTGAACAAACCGATCAGGTACGACCTCCGTAAGACAATCGGAGACAAAACGACAGTACAGGGACAAAGTGGAGTCACAATTAAATTGCTCAGACACGAGACATACTGTATGTGGCAGGGACTCCAGACAATCATGGCTTATAAAGGGAAAGCCAGCCACGTGGCCAACTTGAGTAAGTCATTTCGACGTGTTAACCCTCGAAGGGATGCCTGCCCAGGCAGCATCCCAAGCCGTGTCCTTCGACCATGTGCAGACCAGCTGGCTGAAGTGGTTACGGACATATTCAAGCTCTCCTTATCCCAGTCTGTTGTCCCCACATGCTTCAAGATGTCCACCATTGTTCCTGTACCCAAGAAAGCGAAGGTAACTGAACTAAATGACTATCGCCCCGTAGCACTTACGTCT